GTGTACGGCGCAGAGGCAGTTTTGCCCTGCGACATAATTCATGACTCACCTCGAGTGCGCGTGTACGAAGAAAGAGAAGCCGAGCTCGATCGGCAAGACAGTTTGGACGCCTTGGGGGAAGAGCGTGACGTGGCAAAAGCCCGTTCCGCATTTTATCAACAGCAGGCTCGAAGATACCAAAGCAGAGAAGTACGGGCCAAAAATTACAACGTTGGCGAATTAGTTTTACGCATGCCGGATAAGAAAAAGGACAAACTCAAGCCCAAGTGGGAAGGTCCCTTCATAATTGACCAAGTCCTGACTGATGGAGCGTACCGCCTGCGAGATGCATCAGATAACCGACTCGAGCCAAACCCATGGAACGCAGCCCGTCTCCGAAGATTCTACGCCTAGCGCCGGACTCTGTGTTCGTCTCCTTCCTCTGTCCATTTTTTATATACTTTATGTCTTACATTTCTCTCCTTCTCCTCTCTCTCTCTCTCTCTCTCTTATAGCCTTTAAAGGCTCATACAGTGATGCGCTATCCGCGCTCATTAAACCTGGGGGCTTCCTTAAACAGAAGCTTATTTATACGGGCTTCATGCCCAACACATGTGTCACACTTCCGCATGTACCTTTTATTCACCATTATATGCATCAATATGACTTAAGTTTTGGCCAAGCTGGGTTGCCTGGCTCCTGTGCTTACCCCTACGTTCCCGATTGTTCGGCTAGGTGGTAAAGGGAGCACCTCTGCGATTGTTACTGTCGGGTCAGCCGGATGTGTACCTCAGACTGGGTGAAGCCGAAAGCTAGCGTTCTTAAGGGAATATTCGGTCGGTGAACTAAAGATGATCCTTTTTTCACTTATTTATCTATACGCCCCCAGATGTTTTTCCAGCGTCTCTTTCCGCAGAATGGACATGCACTTTAGGGCATGCCTCCCAGGGAAAGGAACCCCTAAGGAACTATTCTCCCTGGAAGATGTTTCTTACTAACCATGTAATATAACATAACTAGTTGGGCACTTGTCTGTTCAAGCACTAATGACCCCTACGCCTGGTCTCCATGCATACCCCAGTTCTTATATAACCGTGAGGGTATTCGGACACACTCTGGACCATCAGGTCCTGAGGTTGAAGCGAAAAGGTCGGCCATGACAAATGATCTACAATCCGGCTAGAAGGCATTACACATGTCAATTATAATTACATAGTCAATCTGACTAATTGTATTCCTCTTCAATACCATCTAACAGGCTGTCTAGTTTACAGTCCTGTTGGGAATACTTTGCGGCCAATTCTACTTGGCCGTATACTAAGCTCACAGGGATCTCCTTCCCATCGGGCCCCACGGGTCCGACCTCGGCCATGTGGTTTGGGTCAGCCTTCGTGTACCGCGTCTTCACCATGGCCCAGGCCTCCCTGGCGCCTTGACAGCAGGCAGACATCTTCCACAATCGGAAGCGCCGCCGCGCTCCCTTCAGCTTCTCTACAAGCTCTCCAAGGCCTTCGGGCATGGAGACGGATGGCCACAAGGCCTGGGCGATGCTTTGCATCACCTGCCGAACTCGCTCGTGCAGTTGTGAGAGCTCGGGAAGAAGGTCACCCGTAGAACCGGGCATTTCCTCCGCAGGACGACCTGTTAGCATACCTACAGACATTACTCTGTTAGTCGACTTCTTCGCGGAACTCTTTTTTTCAAAGTATGTTTAAGCACTTACTATATATGCCGCGTCGAAGGCGCTGATTCTCCTTCACGGAGTCCAACAGCTGGGCACGAACATCCTTCAGTTCAACGCCCAGCTTGGTGTTGGCATCTTGGAGATCGTTCTTCTCCCGCCTCACCTTTGTCAGCACGCTCTCACCAGCCTTTAGCTGGCGTCGGAGTTGTTGCTCTTCCGGATTTAATCCGGCGCCATCTGCAATTTCATTTGTCAGATTTGCACCCACGCCGCACTTCACAAAATACTTATCTTTCGAAGCGTATATTACCAGAGGGGGTCTCCTTGGGCTCCCCTGCCGCAGATAGTGCGGCCTCAAGTTGGGCTTTGCACTCTTCCAGCTCCTGGGACAGTAGGGTATTCTTTTCTGTAAGAACTTGCATAACAAATGATCCTTAAATCAGTTATTCTAACTGTTTCAAGTCTCGGGGGCTACTGGTATATATATAATTACCAAAATTTTCTTACCCGTATGTCTTTTACATATTGCTCCATGGCTCTGGCTAGACCATTTTGAGCGGCACGGAGGTACGCATCTCCCGAATTGAAGGCATCCAATGCCTCTTGGGAGAAACAAGCGTCGCGAAAAACTGTCCGGCGACGGATGTGGTTCATGGCACTCTCCACCTCGGAATTGGTGGCAAATAGCCTGTCCGCATCCTCTGTCGGAGGAGCGTCTGGTGCGCGCCTCGTGTTCGCCTCCGCGTCCAGACCAGGCTTTGGAGCCTGGCTGGTGGAGGCGCGATTGGCAACCTCTCCGGATATAGTCCGACGAGGTCTCTTCGTCCTGAAGAGAGCACGAGCGTTAGTATGCCTTGAAGGAATAACACCTGGGAATAAGATGGCGCGCTATACCTTTGCGCCGGTGTCTCAGTCCAGACCGCACTTCTTTTCAGCCCGCGGGGCCTTGCCGCCCCTCGTTGGCTAGTCGCCGCAGGCTCGGCCTCCCGTCTCAAGGACCTCCCCTGCAAAACACGGTTGTCATACGGCAATCGAAAACACGCGAGGATAGGTCTCTTTTCAAAGTGCTGGGACTTCGGTCTCAGTTACCTGTGAGGCTGGGAGTAGCCCTGGGTAATCGGCCGTAATGGCCACCAAGGCGTTGTCTTTGCTCAATTGATGAAACACCCCATCAATCAGCTCCACAGACAAGTCCGGATCCTCTTAAGAGGCCGGGTCGAGGAACCGTCCCGGATCCTCGGGTTGTGGAGGAGGGCTGTTTATTTCTTTAATAGCCTGGCGCAGTTCCTGCATTGAAGTCGTTAGACTGAATATTTAACAATAGGAATATAAAACGGATGGGCAAGTAAAAGTGTCCACTTACCCAACTTGGGGGATTGTACATAGAAAATCCACCCTGAGGGTTGACGCGGAGAAATTTCTCCTCTTCTTCCGTGTACAAAGTGGACAAGATCTTTATTAGAGCGGCAGCCGAATCCGACCCCTTACGGCCGTGGCGGGTGGCGTCGTCCTCCTCGTTGAAGTCCCACATGGGGCGGCCTCTATACTGAAGCGGCTGCACCCCTCGCATGATGCATGCGGCCATGACCCCGATCATGGTAAGTCCGGAATGAGCTAACAATCTTATCCGGCCCATCAGGTAAAGAACGTCATTTCCCTCTGAGGGCTCCGTGGACGCCAGCTGAGGCGCTTCTTTAGGGGAGCACTGTCGAACTCAGGAAGGCCGATCCGGACAGGACCCGGCAGCGGGACGTCCTCTATATAAAACCATTCCGAAGGCCAGTCTTCGGACGCCTTCTTTGGGGTTCCGGATAGATATCCGGTCCCGGCGATGCGCCACACTTCGGCTCCGCCCACTTGATATATTGACCCCTTCTTAGAACGGGGCACAAGGCAGAATAGCCTTTTCCACAGTGCGAAATGAGCCTCGCAGCCCAAAAACAGCTCGCAAAGGGCTACGAAGCCCGCGATATGCAATATGGAGGCAGGCGTGAGGTTGTGCAGCTGGAGGCCATAGAACTCCAAGAGCCCCCGGAGAAACGGATGAATCGAAAATCCGAGCCCTCTTATTAAGTAAGGGACAAGGCATACCCGCTCTCCTTTGGAGGGATTGGGGGCGCTCTCCGCTTGCTCTCCACCATTATAGGTGGCAAGTCCGGCTCGAACCGGGACCATATAGGCCGGGGGGAGAAATCCCTTGGTCTGGAGCGTCGCTAGCTCGCTGTGCGGGATGGAGCACCTCTTCCAATCTCCAGGCTGAGGGCTGGAAGGGCGAGAGGAGGAGCTGTGGCGGCCGGCCATGATAGAATGGACCTCTGTCGGATACGCTCTGATGAATACTCGCGGAGGGAAGAAGGTGTGGTTTGGATCTAAATCCTCGTCCCCTTAAATAAGCGGCTCATTCACGCGCCTAGGGGTGTAAATATAAAAAAACACTCTAACTTTTCATATTCGTTTGACACGTGGAAGACGGCCATTATTGGGCGTAGAAGCCAAGGAGCGCTACAAGAAACCGGACATTTTCAATAGGTACACGAAATTTGGAGAACCCGCCTTGCAATGCCGAAGACAATCTGCGCGCCGGACTCGTCGTCATTGAAGCCTGGTTCGGGGGCTACCGAGGGAGTCCTGGATTAGGGGGTGTCCGGATAGCCAGACTATACCTTCGGCCGGACTCCTGGACTATGAAGATACAAGATCGAAGACTTCGTCCCGTGTCCAGAAGGGACTTTCCTTGGCGTGGAAGGCAAGCTTGGCGATACGGATATGCAGATCTCCTACCATTATAACCGACTCTGTGTAACCCTAACCCTCTCCAGTGTCTATATAAATCGGAAGGTTTTAGTCCGTAGGACGAACAGCAATCATACCATAGGCTAGCTTCTATGGTTTAGCCTCTCTGATCTCGTGGTAGATCTACTATTGTACTACCCATATCATCAATATTAATCAAGCAGCACGTAGGGTTTTACCTGTTACCATCCGCCTAGGCGCACAGTTCAGGACCCCCTACCCGAGATCCGCCGGTTTTGACACCGACAGTACTGTAATGAACTCATTCTTTATTTATACTAGTAGAACGCCCGTGCGTTGCAACGGGCTGCATTGGCGACTTCTTTTTTTCTTTGTTCCATCCATCAACTAAAAATGTTCCTTGAGGTGATACGTGGATGGACAAATTTACAATCATACTAAAATATCAATGGTTTAAATATATTTATCAAAAAAATAATTCTACAACACATCCGACATTAAGGTTATGGTATCTGACAAATAGGGAACAAACACAATGATGACTTACCATCAAATCTCATTTATATTTCAAAACATGTTTTTCCTACCAATGTGTGCAAGATCTCTCTCCCAATTCCCCCTTCCCTCGCTCCCTTGATCTCTCCCCCTCTCTCTCTCGCTCACTCTCTCCCGATCTCAGGTGTGTTGCCTTCTCAAGAAGGCTCCAATGCTCTAGTAGCGGTCTAATGAGCTGGTCGTCATTATTCGGTGGTGACAACAACGATGAGGAGGAACACCGCAAGATGTTGCTGATGTTCTTAATCTCTTCCATGTGGTCATTGTCGCTACTGCATGGGGTGTCGTTCATCAAGAGGGCTTCAACCAAGAACCATAATTTGATTGACTACCCACAAAAAATAGAACTATTCTTTACAACTTTCTGAAAAGCTAAATATAATTCAAAAATAATTATGAAGAGAGGTTAGTAAATAAAAATACAAGTCATGACTAAAATATTAAAGTGAGAAAATTATTATTTTTTACCTCATAACAGATATTGTGGCATACTATCTTTCAATATTCCTTATTTAGTGCCAATGTAAATTCCATACATTAAATGTCTAGATCATCTGAAATGGCCATGAAATTACAAAGTGGGAAGGTGGAACAACATTTACACAAGTATAGCATGCAAAATCAGCAACTTATGTGTATAGTCTACAACTTCATCAGGGCAAGTAAAAAAAATCTGTCCGGCGTATAAGTTGTACATAAAAAACTGCAGTTAAACCAATGGACAATTGGAATGGATGGTGCCTACAATCGCTGTGACAACAGGCTCACCAGCAAGGTTGCACTTGTAGATCATCATTTTCTGTGCAAGGAATATCTTCTCAACTGAAATCTCCATTCCAAAATCACCTCTGGCCATGAAGTAATTGGTTTCCCACAAAGTGTCATCAAAGTTTACAATGCCCTCTTGGTTTCAACCTACCAATTCAAGAAAGAATAACAACATAGCCGACATGGTCACGGGCAAGCACGTATGTTTATAGGCACAGTAGATTTAGACAACACAGCAGTTGAACGAAGCTAAGTAATCTGAACAATTTTACAAGTACCAAGAAATAAAACTTACCACAGGAGATGCAAGAAATAAAATTAGGCAAAACTTGTTCAACAAATTATGCTAAGGCTTTTGTGAACCAAGTGTATTCATTAAGGAAAGCACATAGAAGAGAACCAATTATGTATTTTTTGACTATATAACACATAATAGACTATAATGTTTTTTTACAAACAGGAGTAGATGTGAAACATGTCCTCGGAGAAACAAAGAGTTCATGGGTTCCAGAATCAAGTGTGTATATTAACAAAAAGTTGGACGTTATAACAGTAAGTTGTCGAGTGTGTATATTAACAAAAAGTTGGACGACATAACAGTAAGGCAACTCAATGAATGGAAGGAACATCATCTGTGGTTGCCCTGGTACTTAACTGACATGCAAAAACAGTTCATCACTGCAGAGAGTATCAGAAGTTCAGGAAGGAAAGAAAAAAAAACATTAACAAAGCTCGATAACATTACCATAATAATAACACAAAACAAGGATATTTGAATCAGATTTGTAATTCAGGCCCAAAAATGTATATACTATAATAATAACGCAACCATCAAGTCTTTAGTTAATTCATAAAGAGCTGATTGTTTTTAAATGTTTCAGTCCGCTGCTTCTGTATAACAGTTAAAGAACATAAAGAACCACTGCCAACAAATTTCAGTTAACTAACCGACGAATGGATACATATCAAAACAACTAAATCTATAAGTAATGTAGACTAACAAATACGCATGACCATGAGTGCTTCACTGATTGCAGAAAATCAATACCTAGATAAGGTTAAGGATTCAGGCCAAAAATGCATACTACACTGATAACACACTACTAAAAAAAATCAGCAAGGTTCAGAATTCAGGCCCAAAAAAGGTATACTATACTAATAATAAGTAACCAGGAATTCTCGATTTGCTTCATTCAGGCCCAAAATACATATTGTACCAATAACACACAACCATCAAGTCTCAGTTCATTTACTTAAGAATTGATTGTATTTCAATGATTCCATCTCCTGCTATTCTTTAGCAGTTAAAACCAGGCTTCACCATGAAAATAGAAAAGATACCTAGTTCAGTCGCTCGTAGCTTTGGAGCATGCTTAATCAGTTTGTTCCTCATGAACCACATATCAGCGCACACATACAGACACACACGCGATGTGCTCAGCACCTCATGCTGCTAATCACTATGTCGTACCTCTAAGTTGCAATGGACACACATGTATCATTGCCACTCAATGGTTTACCCTGCAAGAAGTAGGAACAACACTAATCAGAGATGATCAGGTTCAGTAGAATGGACGGATAGGCAGAAAAAAATCACCGTGCAGCCAAAAGTATACATCTTCCAGCTTCCAATTTTGGAAAAGCTTAAAAATAGATATAATGTCATTTTTGTTCCGAAAGTATACATTAATGCGGTTGAAAAACAGGTCCTCTCTCTGTTTAAACAAATAGATATAGATTGATTTTCCATTCCAAAAGTATACGTTAACATGGTTGAAAAACAGATCACATCACCCCAGCTGTTAAAAGTCAATTAATCTTTTTAGTAAACAAAAATTATACTCCGTATTTCAGAATTTGGAGACGAGGCTAACTTTCCGTCTACTAAACCAACCAAGAAGAAATTCAACTCAGCCATGAGAGCTTTAAAAAAAGGATTTTAGTGTGATCTTACCGAAAAAGGCTTTCGCCCCGCTTTATATATAAAGCATCAATCAACAAGCACCCAGTACAAACACACGCCCCGCCACCGCAACACACGCACACACCCAGGGTAGGATACATAGGTGCTGAGCGCAGCAACACCACCCCTAGCACTACCCACGCAGAGATGAAGCTACATATGGCGAACCATGTGCTCCAAGGCGGCGCCTTCAGGACGGGAACGACACCGAATCGCCGCCACCGCCCGATCCAAAGATCAGAGTTTCCCCCGGAACCGCATGACAGACAATGAGAGCCGCGACGACGCCTTCAAGAAGGGAACGATCTTCGCCGCCGCTGGTCCGTCCGAAGATAGAAAAGGTTTTCACCTTGGCCAACACTCATCGCCACCGAAGCCACACCCCGGACACCACGCCGCCCACACGACCATGGTGACTGGGCAGCACCAAGGCACGGGCTCTGCCCACAAGCACTGCGCTACCACCACCAGGGCCGCCGCCCCAGCATCCAAGACCTCGACACCACCTCACCTGAGACACGTCGCACCCCAAAGGAACGACACCGGATCGCCGCAACCGCCCGATCCAAAGGTCACTCCTGTTGCACCGTGCGCGAGAGGAGCTCCGTCTAGCCGCGTCGGGCGCGGGACGAGCTCGATCCTGCAGCACCAGGACGCGAGACGAGCGGGGAGAGGGGAAGTCCCGGCGGCGCGCGGGTGGAGTCGCCCCTCGAGTCGCCAGAGGAGGGCGACGCGGGGGTGTTTTTTCACTCTAGTGTGATCTTTGGTATTTCAGCTTCAACCGAAGCTAGCCGCCATTCGCAGTTAGACAATGTAAATCCAAATTTTAGATGGTTTTTCGTTTAAACTGAAGATATAACAGCCTAGGCACTGCCACAATCGATGAACACAAAAATAATGTTCAATTAATTACTTAACGGCAGATAATCAGTGTACCACTACATGGTACCATAATAATTAATTAATTTGCAGCAATTCTAGACATCATTAACTCTTAGACACTGTAAAAGCAAATTGCAGATATATTTTTAGTTTAACCCGAGGCTACAACCTTATACGCACTACCACATTCGATGAACGCCACAACAATGTTCAGCACTACCACATGTAATCTGAATCTCCCCTGAACTTTTCAGTTTGACCACCCCCAGGCATATAATTGCAGCCTAACAAAGACGACATTGCTCCATGGGAGACTCATAGATTCAACTCGACCAAAGAATAAGATTTAATAATGGATTCAAATAATTAAGACGAAGATATTGTCCTGTGGCCCAAGAGAAAAGATATGTTTGGTAATTGGAAACGTGTGTAGATACCTTGATGGAGCGGTCTTGTTCAAAGGCTAAGGAGGCCTTGGAGAAGACCACCTTCCGGGTGAGCAACTTCTGCAGGGACTACACGCTGGCGCCCAAGTCCCTAAGGTTGCCAATGCTCCTTTGGGTTTGAAAACCTTCTCTTCACAGAATTATAGATCAATTTCTGAATTCTGGAGGACTGTACATAACGCATACTTCATCTGGAAAAATAAAACTAACTGTAATGAAAGCATCAATTGCAGTTGAAACAATAGTGCTAAAGAAAAAGGAAAGCTTGTGGCTGCTAATTGATTGCAGCGTATGTACCAAACAAATTACAATGCACTAACACAACATGCGAATTTAAAGAACTCCATATAGTGGATTCAACCACCCTGAACGAATGATATTATATATCAAGGGCATGAGTAATGCAGGTTTATATTTGTAACCAAATAAAGTAAAGAGTACATATTAACCAATGGAATTAACTGAAGCAATTAAATAAATTTGAGACGGTAACTACAAAGCATGAATACAATGAGAAACTACACAAATTCAATCTAACCATGTGTTAGTAGATTAGATGCTGCAAAAGGTTGCACAACCTTATGGGACACAAGCAGCCAAGTTAAACTAACTGAGGGATGAACTTACTCAATGAATCAACCACTTTGTTCTTGCCCCTGGCCTTATCAAACTTATACACAAGCAAATCTTGCATAGTTGGAGAAAATGAATATTCAAGATCGAGAAGAACATCTAGAAGCTCTCGTGCATCAATCTAGTGCAAAGACCATTGAGGTGTTGTTAGTTTTCCTAAATCACGAGAACCATCTTGATAAGGAAATGACACCTGTTTGGAAGATAATTATATCATAGTAGAGGTACTCGAACCCTGGGTGTTCATTTTGTTCCAGCCCTACTCAGATTTGTGCTAGTTCTAAAATAGTTAACAGAGATGCACAATGACAATGGGCACTAACCTGGGCCAGTGACCTAAGAATTTGGAGCGAAGATTACTATTTTTTAGCGCAACACACCCTCTGTTGGCGGTTAAAATACCTCATGTCTGGGCTCGTAGTTGAACTTCTTACTGTAATTCTTACTGTGCATTCCAATGAACCTGCAAACCTGCATCCAAAACAATCAATCTCACGACTGGCCATAATAATAAAAACAATCCACATGACCTTGCAAGCAAGAATATAGATGTAATTGATCAAAAATGAGGGAGATGGAATTTGTGTAAGTTCTGCACCTGTTCTAAGATCTCAGGTTGTAGTCGGCAGTGTAGGGGAGCAGTGATGTCGTGGCCGCACCATGGGGCTAGTCCTTGGTGTATGGGAGTTGTGCCATCAAGGCCGCACTGTTGGGGTAGTCCTTGATGTAGGGGAGCAGCTTCATCAGGGTCGCACTTGCCATCAGAGGGAGATGGAGCATCAGTGTGGTGATGGAGTAATGCATTTCGTTTATCTGGTTGCTGCATTTCACCAATGTATCTTTGAAAAGATTGAACAGATTATCTTCCACCTAAAAGTAACACGGCCATCTTCATGAGACTGTCTACGCACATGGATGCAAATAGAAGATAATTGATGTCTTTGTACCAGAAAGATGTAAATTGAATATTCGATGTGTGACTGATTGCTACATTTTTCAGTTGATGAGATACAATATTCAGTTAAGATACACTCCATCCGTCCGAAAATAACTTATTTTGGGTTGGAGGGAGTATATCATAACTACATTCCTATCATGCACTGAAGCTTCAAATTGTATTTACTTGAGACATACAAGATAGAAAATATATAAGAGGAAAAATAAATAAAGGTTCATGCACGAACAAAACCTCCAGTGCTTTCACCCAGGAAAAAAGCAAACACACGGGGTTTTTATGGTCCTTTGACGGATTGCCGTCCTAACTACCCCACCCCCCACCTATTTTCAGTGGGGGTGGGTCCCTCACACCCTTATTTTTTGTCCAACCAAAAGATCCCAACCAAGCTATCCCGTTAATCCCGTAAAACTCTCCCCGTGTGTCTAGCGCTGCTCCAGATTGGCAATGCCTAAGCAATACAGTAACTAAGTTCTCTATATACTCTCTAGTTTGGTTATTGAATATGGGAGATTATGTTCCTTTTATTCCAGGAAAAAAAGGTCATTGAGTTTGTTCCTGTGAAAATTGTGATGGTCTATTTAAAGTTAGACATTTATAATACTAAATCTGGTCACATATGGGTGAATTAGTATGCCATCGCACATGTAGATGTTTTCCTGATGAATATAGATTAATTTATCATGATCAAATGCATCTAAGGATCCATGAATCAACTAATCATATGGAGTAACCAAATATCACCTTACCTCTTTCTAGAACTCTCATTCCCCTTGCACGGAATCACTCACGCGGAGCCTTTACAACCACTGCTTCAGCAGATCCTTGCACTATTGTGGTCGTGGCCTTTTGCAAATCCCTGAACAACAAACAAACAACAATAAAAACGGTTGTCCACAAATCTGATCATGCGAGTATGTTTTTCAGTTGGTAGTTATGAACTTATCAGTGGAATAGTAATTAAGTACCATACATTCAAAGATATTTCTGGATCCCAACGCCGAGATTGGCATTATCGTGGCTTCTCTACAAAAGCACAATATCCAGAGGTATTTTGGGATCCTCCAGACACAAAGGGGCGAGTACCAACCATTGTTGTGCTAGCCCTAGTGTGACACATGTCGCGACCGATAGAGGATGTTGGCCCAGCCGGTGATGCTCCCTGAGACCATCTAGACCGACCGCTACAGTCAAAGCTGATGGAGCCTGCTCCGACGCCATTGGCATGCATGCAGTGTGGTTATGGTGGACTCCAGCGATTGCGTCGGTGCGATGATCATAGCCCACCCTGTACATCCAAAAGTCCATGAACATGCACACCATAAGCGAGGAGCGCGTCATGCATGCCAACGGTGACCAAGCTGGAAAGGGCGGTGCCGGACTCCAGGATGCCGAGAGACACCAGCATACTCGGGCATGAACGACACCATCACTCTCATGCCAGAATCGGTATGTGACCACAAAGGCTACCTTGCCGAATACAACAGACTGATAATACTCCCAGGTAGGAACTTGAAATTGGTAATAAGTTTTCGATCAAGTAATCAAGTTGGCAAGATATAAAAATCAGAATAGAAAAGGGCGAACATAGAAAGAAAGAAGAACATGGAGATGGCGTTGACATCCACAATTAATGGATCGAAAATCCATACCAACAACCTGGAGGCGACGGCCGCATCTGCGCCTCCACGCGCGAGGACGATTGCGCACGCTCCGGCGCGAGATCAGGGCATTAGACATATGGCTTCTCGCCGCACAGGAAGCTCCAGCCCGAGTCGACCCTGGCGCCACATCGGCCAAAGAGGCGGCGACTCCCAGCGCGGAGCGCATGACGACAGTGACAAAGCGGTCATGGCCTTCAACCTCGATGTGAGGCGGCCAGTGGCCATCGCTCCCTCCCGGCTTCCTTGCTCTTGATCCACGCCCGCAGCAGCAAGGCGACGGATCCAATGGAGGTGGTGCGTGAGGGCGGGTTGGGCGGCGAGGGACAACATGCGGGAGCACGCCGGGAGGGGGAAACCTAGCTGCGAAACAAAATCTGGTGATCATCGGGAGACATCGCGTCGGCGTGAGATGAAGATTCAGATCGAGAATTGTGGTGCGGCGGCGGAGCTTGGGATTGAGGGAGGGAGCAGGTACGCGACTCGTGCGGCATCGAGGGCACGAGGGTTCGGGTGCGAGGCTCTGGCTAATTTTCATAGGTTAACCGTCGTAGATTTTTTTTAAAACGATTTTCTGTTGATAAACCGTAGTGTTTTACAAGGGAGGAAGGGGTGAATCGCTGGGTAGCGGAAGGTGGAATCCAGGACGAAAATTAACCGTCTCTGGTGGGACGAAAATTGACCGGCGGAGACTACCAACTGCTCCATTAGAAGTAGAGATTGATGTTAAACCTACTGTATTCCAACTTATCTATGGTTTATAGACTCTTTTAATAGCCATAAATTCATCAAAATAAGCAAACAACACACGAAAAACAGAATCTGTTAAAAATAGAACAGTCTGTAGTAATCTGTAGCTAACGCAGCTTCTGAAACCCTAAAAAATCTAAAATAAATTGCTGGGCGTGAGGAATTTATCTATTAATCATCTTCAAAAAGAATTAATTAAATAGCACCTTCCAAATAAAAATGGAAGCAATTCTCGTGAGCGATAAAGTTTCTGTTTTTCACAGCAAGATCAAAAAGACTTTTCCCAAGTCTTTCCAACGGTTCTACTTGGCACAAACACTAATTAAACACAAAAAACACAACCAAAACAGAGGCTAGATAAATTATTTATTACTAAACAGGAGCAAAAATCAAGGAATAAAACTAAAATTGGGTGGCCTTCCAACAAGCGCTATCGTTTAACGCCCCTAGCTAGGCATAAAAGCAAGGATAGATCTAGGTATTGCCATCTTTGGTGGGCAATCCATAAGTGGCTCTCATAATAGATTCATATGGTAATTTAATTTTATTTCTAGGGAAGTGTTTCATGCCTTTCCTTAATGGAAATTGAAATTTAATATTCCCTTCTTTCATATCAATAATTGCACCAATCGTTCTAAGAAAAGGTCTACCAAAAATAATAGGACATGAAGGATTGTAATCTATATCAAGAACAATGAAATCTACGGGCACATAGTTCCTATTTGCAACAATAATAACATTATTAATTCTTCCCATAGGTTTCTTAATAGTGAAATCCGCAAGGTGCAAGTTTAAAGAACAATCATCAAAATCACGGAAACCTAGCAAATCACACAAAGTTTTTGAAATCATGGAAACACTAGCACCCAAATCACACAAAGTATAGCACTCATGATCTTTAATTTTAATTTTTATTGTAGGTTTTCACTCATCATAAAGTTTTCTAGGGATAGAAACTTTCAACTCAAGTTTTTCTTCATAAGATTGCATCAAAGCATCAACGATATGTTTAGTAAAAGCTTTATTTTGACTATAAGCTTGAGGAGAATTTAGCACGGATTGCAATAAAGAACTACAATCTATCAAAGATAAATTATCATAATTAAATTCCTTGAAATCTAAAATAGTGGGTTCATTGATATTTAAAGTTTTAACCTCTTCAATCCCACTTTTAACAATTTTTGCATCAAGATCTAAAAACTCGGAATTTTTGGAACGCCTTCTAGGTAAAGGTGGCTCATCTTCAGTCCCATCATTATCAAGATTTATATTACAAAACAAAGATTTAATAGGATACACATCAATAACTTTTAGATCTTCATCTTTATTATCATTAAAACTAGAAGAATACACTTTTACAAAGCAATTTTTCTTGGCACGCATCCTATCGGTTCTTTCTTTGCACTCATCAATGGAAATTCTCATGGTTTTGAGAGACTCATTGATATCATGCTTAGGTGGAATATATCTAAGTTTCAAAGAATCAACATCAAGAGAAATCCTATCAACGTTCCTAGCCAACTCATCAATCTTAAGCAATTTTTCTTCAATCAAAGTATTGAAACTCTTTTGCGAAGTAATAAATACTTTAATACTAGATTCAAAAGCAGAGGGCATCTTATTATAATTTACATAAGAATTGTTGTAGAAATTACCATAATTATTAGAGGAATTACTAGGAAACGGCCTAGAATTAAAATTACCTCTATACGCTTTGTTAACAAAATCGTTCCTACCAACAAAATTTACATCCATAGATTCATTATTATTCTCAATCAAAGTAGACAAAGGCATATCATTAGGATCAGTAGGAGTACTCTTATTAGCAAACAATTTCATAAGTTTATCCATCTTTCCACTTAAAACATTAATCTCTTCAATTGCATGCACTTTTTTATTAGTAGATCTTTCGGTGTGCCATTGAGAATAATTAACCATAATATTATCTAGGAGTTTCGTAGCTTCTCCTAAAGTGATTTTCATAAAAGTGCCTCCCGCGACCGAATCTAAAAGATTTCTAGAAGCAAAATTCAATCCGGCATAAAAGTTTTGTGTAATCATCCAAAGATTCAAACCATGTGTAGGGCAATTACGTATCATTAATTTCATCCTTTCCCAAGATTGTGCAACATGTTCATGATCAAGTTGCTAAAAATACATAATATCGTTTCTAAGAGAGATGATCTTAGCGGGAGGAAAATACTTAGATATAAAAGCATCTTTGCACTTATTCCATGAACCAATACTATTTTTAGGCAAAGACGAAAACCAAGCTTTAGCACAATCTCTAAGCAAAAACGGAAATAGCATAAGTTTAACAATATCATTATCCATATCTTTCTTCTTTTGCATATCACACAAATCAACAAAGTTGTTTAGATGGGTAGTGGCATCTTCACTAGAAAGGCCGGCGAATTGATCTTTCATGACAAGATTCAACGAAGCAGCATTAATTTCACAAGATTCAGCATCGGTAAGAAGAGCAATCGGAGTGCTAAGAAAATCATTGTTGTTGGTATTGACAAAGTCACACAATTTAGTATTATCTTAAGCCATCGTGAAAAGCAAGCAATCCAACACACAAGCAAACAAGAAATGGGAAAAAGAGGCAAATAGGGAAAGAGAAGGGGAACGGAGAGAGAGGGCGAATAAAATGGCAAGGGTGAAGTGGGGGAGAGGAAAACGAGAGGCAAATGGCAAATAATGCAATGCGAGGGATAAGAGTTTGTGATGGGTACTTGGTATGTCTTGACTTGGCAATGGCACCTGAAATGACTCGTTGTTGGGAGTCAAATCTTGACTTAACTTGGCGTGAATCTCCCCGGCAACGGCGCCAGAAATCCTTCTGGCTACCTCTTGAGCACTGCGTTAGTTTTTCCTTGAAGAGAAAAGGATCATGCAGCAAAGTAGCGTAAGTATTTCCCTCAGTTTTTTAGAACCAAGGTATCGATCCAGTAGGAGATCACGTTCAAGTCCCACACACCTACACAAACAAATAAGAACCTCGCAACCAACGCGATAAAGGGGTTGTCAAGCCCTTCACGGTCACTTACGAGAGTGAGATATGATAGATATAATAATATAATATTTTTGGTATTTTTATGATAAAGAGAAATAAAAATGCAAAGTAAAATAAACGGCAAAGGAAATAACTAGTGTTGGAAGATTAATATGATGAAAGATAGACCCGGGGGCCATAGGTTTCACTAGTGGCTTCTCTTAAGAGCATAAGTATTACGGTGCGTAAACGAATTATTGGCGAGCAACTAATAGAATTTAGCATAGTTATGAGAATATCTAGGTATGATCATGTATATAGACATCATGTCCACGACAAGTAGACCGAAACGATTCTGCATCTACTACTATTACTCCAGACATCGACCGCTATCCAGCATGCATCTAGAGTATTAAGTTCATAAGAACAGAGTAATGCTTTAAGGAAGATGCCATGATGTAGAGGGATAAACTCATGCAATATGATATAAATCCCATATTTTTATCCTCGATGGCAACAATACAATACGTGCCTTGCTGCCCCAGCTGTCACTGGGAAAGGACACCTCAAGATTGAACCCAAAGCTGAGCACTTCTCCTATTGCAAGAAAGATCAATCTAGTAGGCCAAACCAAACTGATAATTCAAAGAGACTTGCAAAGATAAACCAATCATACATAAAAGAATTCAGAGGAGAATCAAATATTGTTCATAGATAATCTGGATCATAAACCCACAATTCATCGGATCTCGACAAACACACGCAAAAGAAGATTACATCAAATAGATCTCCAAGAAGATCGAGGAGAACTTTGTATTGAGATCCAAGGAGAGAGAAGAAGCCATCTAGCTAATAACTATGGACCTGTAGGTCTGAAGTAAACTACTCACACATCACCGGAGAGGCCATGGACTTGATGTAGAGGCCCTCCGTGATCAATGCCCCCTCCGGCGGAGCTCCGAAAAAGGCTCCAAGATGGGATCTCTCGGGTACAGAAGGTTGCGGCGGTGGAATTAGGTTTTCGTGGTGCTCCTGGATGTTTGGGGTGTACGTGTTGGGGAACGTAGCAGAAATTCAAAATTTTCCTACGTGTCACCAAGATCTATCCATGGAGAGACTAGCAACGAGGGGAAGGAGAGTGCATCTACATACCCTTGTAGATCGCTAAGCGGAAGCGTTCAAGTGAACGGGGTTGATGGAGTCGTACTCGTCGTGATTCAGATCACCGATGATCCTAGTGCCGAACGGACGGCACCTCCGCGTTCAACACACGTACAGCTCGACGATGTCTCCCACGCCTTGATCCAGCAAGGAGAGAGGGAGAGGTTGAGGAAGACTCCATCCAACAGCAGCACAACGGCGTGGTGATGATGGAGGAGCGTGGCAATCCTGCAGGGCTTCACCAAGCACCTACGGGAGAGGAGGAGGTGTCACGGGAGGGAGGGAGGCGCCAAGGGCTCAGGTATAGATGCCCTCCCTCCCCTCCACTATATATAGGGGCAGGGGAGAGGGGGGAGGAGCAGCCTTGCCCCTTCCTCCAAGGAAGGGGTGCGGCTAAGAGGGGGGGAGGAGTCCATCCTCCCCAAGGCACCTCGGAGGTGCCTTCCCCCTTTAGGACTCTCCCCTTTTTCCTATATCTT